TGAAAAAAAAAAGGGGGTTTTGTTTGCATATATCTTCTTAAGTTATTTCATTCATATTCATCGAAACAAACCGACTTGATATATCAAGTATGATACCCTTTTCCTTGGGTGGTGCCAAGTCCTCATCGTATCATAATTATATTCTAAGATCGAACCTCAAACAATTCGTGTTCAAGAGTTAGTTCTAGAGCGTGCATTCAAGAGGTATATATAGACATTTTGGGCCAGGTAACACTTCGTTATCACACTTAATTTGTTAAGATCGACTCTAATATCATTTTATCATGTCTCTGAACTGAAAAATGAAGCCTGATACATAACATAAAATCATTGTTATGGTATGATAACAAAATCTAACGATCCTTTCATCTAATAAAGAAAACTACTGGGAGTGTTCTTTTTCTGATTTGATGGTATAAAAACAATTGTTTTTGCCTCATTTATTGGTGATCATGGTGTAATAAACACATGGCTGTGGCGCGATCAAAAAATAAGTCTATAATTTTCAGAACTTGTATGCTATTGACTACTGTGTAAGTGCAGACTGCTGATCAGATTCCTCTGGACCAGCATATGGGAATGTTAACTACAGGTTATTCTTCTGGACCAGCATATTGGCATGTTAGCTACAGGTGCATCCAGCTACTATTATGATAACTCTCTCAATCTCAATTCACCAATTAACATGGACTCGGGCACAATAGGCTTCCCTGGCTTTCGGTTAGGGCATGGACATTATTGGTATAGTTCAGCATGACAACACCTACTTACTGGACCAACCACATCTGTTTCTTGGTGAAGTCCAGTACAATTTATTGGGTCTCTGCCAATGTATCACATTTTAGAAGTACGGGTATTAAGATCAACTACATCAATCATCCCACGGTTTTCTGGTGGCTTCATAGATCTTATGCAATTTGAGGCCCAATTCGGTTTCAACTACATCCTTATCAAGCAAACCTATCTTTGAACTCTGCTACCAAGCTAAAACCCACTACGTACAGATCCAGGTCCAAAGTAAAAGTCCAAGTAGGCCTAGTCTGTGATCCCTTAGAATCACATTCCAACTCCCAAGTACACCGAGAGCGTACCACTCCCAAACCTTAAATAGTTTTATTGCACTTATACATGTGTCATTATTTTATGTAAGTATGTGAAATTTATATTTGAGATTTGTATGAAATGTGTAGTGTGTGTTTTATATGTATATTGATATTGTACTTAGTGTTGTATTGTTAAGTGTTTAGTTTTGCATAATTAATTGTTAAATGTTATACCTGTCCGAGTAATCTAGGGATTCAATTGAAACAATTAAAAGTTTAGGTACTCAATTGAATTAAGAGATAAAGTCATATGACTATTATTTAACTTAGAAACCTTAAGAATAAGGACTTAATTATGATAATTAAAAGTTTAGGGACCAAAATTTAAGGACTTAATTGAATTAAGTTGTATGGTTAAGTGACTAAAGTGTAAAGTAAATCAATTTAGAGGACTTAAATAATTTGGTGAGGTTGAATGAATTATGCAAGAGTTATGCATGAATTAACATCAAAATAAAGTATTAGTAATGTTGTAAGTAAATGAGAACTTGGGAAACTTCAAGAAAATTTTATGGTAAATCAAAAAGAAATTTCATAAAAATTACATGGTATAAGTAAATAAAGGTTGACTTAAGAAGTTACATAAAAATTGAATGGACATAACATGAAAGTTAAAAAAAAATATTAACTTAGGAAATTTCAACATGTGGAATTATATAGGACATTACATGGAAGTTATAAGTATGAACTAAGGAAATTTCATATAAACTACCTAGAATTACTTAAAAATGGTCACCCAAGTGGCCATTTAAGTGGCAAAAATCTCATCCATTCATCTTGATTAATTCGGCCAAGATAAAGAAAGAGGGGAGAAAAATATCCAAGCTAACTAGATAACATTTTAGCCTTAATAAACTTAGAATAATCTAGATAAATATCTTAGCTTGAATAATTTATATATGTGATATCCAAGTTAACTAGATAACATTTTAACCTTAATAAACTTAGAATAATCTAAATAAATATCTTAGCATGAATAATTTATATATGTGACAATTTTATAAGCTTCCTTGCAACCATTAATTCAACCAAGAGAGAAAAAGAAAGGGAAGAAAATTGTAGTCTAACTTAGAGAAATATCAAGCAAGAAAAGTGCAGAAAAATTAACTTAGCTAAGTAAAATAATGTTCGCCATCCATTTGTCTTACCAAATGGCAAAATCTTGGCTGCCAAATTTACTCCATGCGGCCAAGAGAAGGAAGGGAAGAATTTTTTAGCTCCCTAAGCCGGCAAAATGAGTATAAATAGGGGGAGAACTAACTAAACTAAGTTTGGGAAAAATTAGGTTAGTTACATATTAAAACATAACAAGCAAAATTGATCTGGTGAAGGATAAGCAAGGGTGGTCGAAAGTTAGAAAGAAAGAGAAGTTGGTCGAAAGATTAGAGTAGGAATTAAGCAAGCTTGGCCAAAACTTTGCAAGGAAGAAGGTGGGATCTTTGTGAGCAACTTAAGAGGTCTCAACACTAACTAGACTCTATGTAAGTGTAATTAACTCAACTACATCACAAGGTATATGAATTGTTAGAATTATTATGTGTATTTGCTTGATTAGTAATTGATCATGTATTGATGGTGTGTTTGTGAGCTTGATTGATGATTGTTCAATTACTATGTTTTGTTGAATTAATGATTGATCGGGAGGTTAATTGATCATTAAAAGATGAAATTAGGTTAAAACATGACGTAGAATGTTTAAGGATGATGAATTCATGAAGTGAATAACTTACTACATGTTTGTTAGAAAGATTGATAGATTCGACTAGGTACCAATTAGATGTTAATTGATTTCATACTTATATGTATATTGATAATTATATTATTTTTAGGACATGTAATGATTTGGAGATGTGTTTATGTGGTAGTGAAATGATTATATGATTGATTTGTGCTTTGGATTATTTTCTTGGTAGATTCGACCTAATGATGAGAGTGATGTTCCTTGGTGTTTGTTCAAGTAATATGTTTATGTAATTGATTGTTATCTTGTTATTTAATGATACATGGTTAATTGATATTGTACTCATATGGTTGATCATTCAGCTAAAGTCTATGTTCAAGGGATAATGATTGATTGTTAGTTCCTTGATAATTAATTGTTGGTGTGATATTGGATGAATTTGGCTTTGTTCATGATTAAGGAGACTTAGGTTAATGCCTATGTATTCACTTGAAAGTAGCTTACTCGGATTTGATCAATACAAATTGAAGTGAATTAGTGATGTTTTCTTGTGTTTAATGAATGGTTATGCAATTGTTATGTTACATGGTATCATTGGTGTGTCCTTGTTTTATGATACATGGCTAAAGGTTTGGTGTTTTATTAGTAGGTGAATTTAGCCTACATGCTTCATTGGAGTTCATGGGTTATGTGTTATGTTATTGATTGCATTCACTTCACGAAAAGATTTTCATCATGTTTTATGCATTCAAAGCCAAAGCAAGTACATGGTTTTCAAGAAAAAGGATCAAGGCTAGACATGTTCAATCATAGGCTTGCAAGGAGAGTGATCAACTCTTTGTGAGCTTCACAAGCTCCATAGAGGGCATGTCTAGTGCTTTTTATGGTTTTTCACAAATATGATTTTTATGGATGATTGAATATATACACGTTCAACGAGGTTGCATCTTGATCATAGAAAATATTTTCCAAAATCACGAAAAGGAATTTATTTACATCATGCATACATGATTATACTTACCGAGTTTTAACTCACTGTTTGTCTTGTGATGCGAGGTGAAAAAATGACGTTTGAGGACTTGATGTGAAGATGATGATGAATCTGGAAGGAATGGAACTTGCCAAATGTGTACTTTAACTATAGTTTAAATGTAGCAAGTTTATACCCTTTTCCATCTTAAATGGTTTGGGTACTCTTTGTTAACTTAGTATGTTAATAAATAAATAATGATTAGGGATGTTTATAAATTAGTTTAATGGTTTGGCAGGTTAATTAAATAAGTAAAATAAAAGAAAGTGATAAATGGTCTCTAGTAACTTAATAAAATGGTTAAATAAAAATAAGTTCTAAAGATAATAAAATGTTTTTCTATTATAGTATGCAAAATGGTTTCAGTGGCCATACATATTAATAATTGAAATGGATTTTTAGATGTTTAAGTGTTTATGGAATCTAAACTTAAAAGTAGCTTCCAATGAGCTTAATTCTAAGGAGATTAAATCATGGTGTTTAATTAAACCTATAGGTTTCCAATAAATTGGAGGTTTGATAAAGACAATGGTTTATTATTTAATAAAACTTAAATGGTTATTTAAATAATTATTATGATTATTCAAGATTATAATGAAACTTGATTTGGTAGGTTAATGTACTTTAAATAAATGTATTTTGAAACTAAGTGAAATAATTTCTAGTCACGATTATATTGAAACTCAATTTGATAGGTTGATGTACTTTAAATAAATGTGTTTTGAAACTAAGTGACATAATTTCTAGCTATGGATTTTATTTCTATTCAATGAATTGGTTTTAATTTTTAAATCAAAAAATCTTCCACCGCATAATATGGTAAATAAATTTATAATTAGAGCTAAGGACATAAAGTTTAGTGTCTCACATTCATTACACTTCAAGTGTGATACATTTCCGATAACTTTCCTGGCCTCAATTAGGTCAGGAGTGTTAGAGAGAGCACTTTGAATCAAAAACATTGCCATGCCATCCTGGGCACATTAAAACAAAGTAAATTGTGCAAGTTTGGATCAAATACGAGAAACAACTCTTTTTGCTAAAGCTTTTTACCGAATACAAGCGAACAAAGAAACTTTTTTCAGAGATTGATTCCATACTTCAATTAAACAAAAGCCCTCCAAAAAGGGGGCAGACTACTCTCAAGTTCGATGTTGATGAGAATGGAGGGATAGAATTGATAACATCATGCTTCATTCGTGGGAAGCTCGCCACTTTCAAGGATCACCACTCTCTTTATGGGACGGTCTCCTCTGTCTGTCTCCTGTGACTCAATCAATTTAACAATGTCCATGCCTTCCAAAACTTGCCCGAATACAACATGCCTTTGATCTAGCCATGGAGTCTGCCAATTCACATGAACAGAAACAAAACAACTGTGCGTCAAGTCATGTAAATGTAACATAAATCTGCAAATATTTGACCACTTAATGAATCTTTAAACCTAGATGGAATTGATCAACAAAATCACATAACAAGCATTTGTAGAACATTAATCGTCTCCATTAGTGACTATTAAAACCATGCTAGCTATAACAAATAGGTGTTAAGCCAACATAAAAAATGAAAGTAGGTTACTCTTAAGAGAATGGAATGTTGTCGGTGAAACTTCGTTGATACAGACCATATCATTTACCCCAAACAAAATTGCAGTCCAATCCTCAAGCGCCCACATATACTATCTACATGCAGGCATGACCAACAAGCAGTTGTTTTAAATACATACCAAATTTGCTTTCTTCATAATGGCCCCATCACATACAGAAAACAGTCAGTCAGGCATAATCACCTGCATACTTTCAGCAGAAAAGGGGGGTAACCGGGAAAATAACCCATGGAACTTTTTATCCTAATCCTCCGTCCTTGGGAGGTATAAAGTTAAAGCCTCTTTAACTTTAACCAACAGTTTCTACCCTCCAAAAAGCAGAATGTTAGAGTTGGCTTAAGAAAAAAATGACCAATTTTCCTAGTACTCTCGATCTTCTCCCCAGTATACTTCAAATCAAGTAACTGTGACAATTTATTATATTAACCATGACATTTTATTATGTTAATCGTAAACATCACTGAACCCAGCTAGTAGCAGGAACATTTTAACTTCTTGACTTCGCAAAGATAGAAACCCTGGGAAAATTTATAGTAGATATAGGAATTAATTTACTTCTTTAATCTCTCTATTTGAGATTCTAATCCATATATATTCGAAAAAACACCAATGATTCATGAAATTCTCAGCCAAATTGAAACTGTAATCAGAGAATACCATGTGCTCGTATCCACACCCACATATGTACATGTATGAAAAGTATGTATCTAAATACAAAGACAATTATGTACCTTAACAGTGCAGATAAAAAATTGGCTTCCATTGGTGTTGGGCCCTGCATTTGCCATACTAACAACTCCTGGCCCAATATGCGACACTGCAAAACAATTGAGATTTCATAATTAGGCATGCAGTGCCACACATATAAATACAACATCCACCGCCGAAATGTAAAAATGATGACAAAGCAGAATCCAAGAAGAATCAATCACTCAATAAACTCCCAACCATGATAAGATGTTGTTAGCAAAAAATAATTATTACAATATGAGGAAGTTTCTGTTTCGAGACTGCTCTACCTTAGACAGGATGAGAGTGAGAGATGAAGAAGGGATCATGTGTCTTCAACCAAGGTAACTTCCTAGGTGGGATTTACAGTTTATTGAGCATGGGGTCCAATCTTAGTACAACAGTTACATGAGAAGTATCAACTTACGCTTGAAGTTTTCATCTTTAAACGTACGGCCGTATATGCTTTTACCTCCAGTGCCCTGCAAGTATTTCCAAATACTGACAATTAGAATACAGATCTAATTGAGAACGCTTAAAATTTTGTAAGTACAAAGCTAGTTGGAAGTGGTATGGAAGCCCATATGAAATAGAGCCTGAACTCAGAATATCAGGGGACAATGTTTCATTTCTTAACAAACACACGCAGCAACAAAGGGAAACAAAAGCATAGAAACTAAATAAAGAGAGAATTTCAAGGGTCTCAGAAATGAGCAAACACACCTCCTGCCAAACATAAATCCATAAACCCTAGAGTTGAATGGTGATCCTATCCCAACAGATGTCTTTTTCAAAATAAATGTTGCCATACAAACTGAAAAAATCATGTAAACCATCTCCAACTAAATCCACAAGATTGCAAAGACGCTCATCTGTTTGACCCTTAACTTGATCTGAAAAGCACATAGATCTGTGTTCAACTGAAGGAAATATTTGGGACATCAATAACATTAGGTCAACACCCTCACACATCCCAATCACAACTTCAATAGTAATATGTTATCTATATTTTCAGCACAGCCAACTTATACATTGAATCCAATTCAATAAATTATAAGTTTGACAAGCAAGCACCTCAAGTTTCTGAAATAAATTCAAATCCTGGTGCAGCTTTTGATATATCAGACCAAGTGATGGAAACCTTTGAAGCGCCTCTTATTGATAAATAGTAAAATATTTCTTAGAATAAAGAACACTGCATTGTAAAAAGCATTATTCAATAGGAACTTGAGAGATGAAAAAGTTTAGGAGGTAAGGAAAATTAAGGTGGAAACGAGACTTTAAGCCTATTACTATTTCTATCGAGCCAATAAAAGAAGGAGAAGAGCACCTTTAACAATGGCAAAAGCCCCCTAGCACTGCAAATTAGTTGATATCCTTAACGGTATGTATACTTATGAAACAGGGATTCAAATCTTTGCTAACTGACGAAACAATATACTGCAAAATATCCTTCTAGTTGAGATTCACCCTAAAGTGTGAAGAAAGCACTCACATTTCCTTTGTCAAAGTCCCCTCCTTGAATCATGAAATCTTTGATGACACGGTGGAAAGCAGAATTTTTGAAGCCAAAGCCCTTCTCTCCTGATTAAAATACATAATTGAAACCAAATTATAAAAGATTCAGAGAGTTGATGTTTAGGAAAGAAATAACTAATAGATATTATAGATCTAAAGTTCATATGACACAACCTGTGCATAAAGCTCTGAAGTTCTCTGCCGTTTGTGGCACATCATCACCATATAACCCAATGACAATTCTTCCAACAAGCTTCCCAATTGGATTCCCAATTCCTATATCAAAATATACTTTGTTGGTCACCTTTGACTGTAACTCCGGACCCTGAAAATTTTAACAATCAAGAAAAAAATAAAAATCAAGACACCGATATCCAAAACCACACACAATTCAAACTTCATTCGTCCACAAAACTAATTCCACATCAAAACCATCACAAAACAAACTCTAATGCACATTTCACAAAGTAATTCAATTTTTTTCCGATCCCAAATTTATTTCTTAAAAATTATAAACAGTTGCACATGTCTCTTAAGTCCTCAATATAATCGGGAATTCAATAAAGTTAAAACATAGTTCACTGAAATCTAAAAATATTTCACTATCCAGTTCTCAAGCAAACAATACCCTCATTCAATTGAACCGATTAAACCACATAATAAACTACACACATAAAATAACCCAAATAAAAGTAAAAGAACAAAATCCTGCAAAAACCCTAACCTCTGCACTAGCTCGAACGGAGCTTAGAACACGAGATTTCTTCGGGGAAGAGGTTGTAAGAGAAGCAAAACGAAGCGAACTCGAGAAGAACAAGCTCGATGAAGACGAGGAAATATTTGACGGCAACGCATTTCTACTAGGAAAATTCACTGCATTACATGCGTTGGAGCTTCCTGATTTTACCTGCAACTTAGTACTTCTTGGAATTGATAGTGAGCCCACATTTGGCTGCAAAAAATAAACACAGTTCTTGTTGGATTAGTAAAAAAAAAAAAAAAGTAAAAATGGGGTGTGTTTGGTTACTTAGAAAATGAAAAGGAAAGGGACTACCAGAGTTGTAAAAGAAGCCGCCATTGATGGGGATGTGTCTGTGTGAGGAGATAGAGATAGAGAGCGAGAGAGACGGAGAAGGCGTTTGGTGTGTTTTTTTCTTTTTTTAGTGTTATAAGGAGATGATGATGATGAAATTACAGATATTGTGTTTGATATTTTAATATGACAAATGTGTCCTCTCAGAATCACCAGGGGTCAGGTGTCGAATATCCCACACCCATACCTATCATTGGACGGTCCCCATGAGTTCATGACAAAAAAAAAAAAAAAAAGTTTAAATCCGTATGCGGTACATACTTTGATCAACTGATTAATTAAGTTTTTATATTTAATTAATTTGTATAAGGTGAGCTCTGTCTCGATAATTTTACTCACCGCCTTAAGTAAATTGTAGAATCAAACAATATGTATTATTTGAGTTTGTTGGTTATATTTTATTCATGTATTTTATTATAAAAATTATTGATTCAAATTATAAAAATATTTTCAAAAATTATTAAAGAAAAAAATGAAAAATGTTATTGTAATTTCAATAAATGTTTTGGTAATAAAAATAGAAAAGAAAAGAAAAAAAAACTAACAGGTCAACAAGGTTAAAAAATAAGTGTTTTTTAATTATATAATTCACTTAATAGCATCAGCAAAATCATTACTAAATAACTCATATTAAATAAATTGATTCAGTATAAAAATTCAATTAACAATGAAGTTGATATAAAAATCTGATTAATCAATTATTTCTAGTAAAAAATAATATGAATTGTTAACTAAAAAAAACCTACATTCTTATCCCTACTCTTCGGCTAATTGAAAATAAAGGTACGTGGTAAATTTTTTTACCCATATTTTCACATGTCGGTTCCTAGTTATCACGTGGGATGAATAATTGACAACGTGATAACGAGGATCTCAATCAATAAATTTATAAAAATAAAAGTTTTCAATCAAATTAAACAATAATAAAAGATCTCGATAAAAAAAAATTGAAACTGCATAGAGATCAATTATGGGATAAATCCATCAAAATAAGACCGAGCATCGACCAACATCTTAAAATGTACATATTCCCAAAAACAATAAAATTTCTAGTACTCTCAAGTTTGACAAACCAAGCTAGGTGCTTCGCATAACATTTCTCACATAGCCCTAGAATAACACATTGTTTGATACATGTAACTCCCTAATAACTTCGATGCATATCATTAGCAGATGATGCATCCATCATCATAGATCAAAACATTGTCTAAATTTATTTTTTTAATTCGCATTTATGTTTTCTCGTTTGAAGATAAAAAAACAAGTTCTCTGTCTAATAAGAGGCGGAGAGAACAAGCAAAACGAGAGGAAAAACGATGAGCTACCTTCCTCTCATTTCATTTAATAAAATCCTCTCCTAGATCTACATTACAAACCCTCCTTATATACCGGATAAAATCAATTAGAGAAAAGGGTGAAGAAGATTCGATTACAAAATGAAAAACAACACAAAGCCGAAAGAGAAACAAACTTGAACGGACTTGTAACAAACCAAAATGTAGCCATTAAAACATGAATTGACAAATAAGCCCTTATATTTCGATATGCCCCCTCGAGCGGAGCATGAATGTTGAGCATGCTCGAGCTTGGTCAAGAGAAAGTGAAAACGAGTTGGTTGTAAAGGTTTAGTAAAGAAGTCCGCAACTCGAAAAACGAGAGAAGGTATGTTCGGGAACAATGAGACCGACGAGGATCTTTTCACGGATGAAGTGACAATCCATTTCAATGTGTGTTTGTATGTTCATGGAAGACAAGATTCTTGCTAATATGAATAGCCGATTTATTATCACACACGAGGATCACACCATGCTTATGATCAAAACCCGGATCATGGAGCGATGACAATAGCCACACCACTTCACGATAGCCGGAGGACATAGCTCGGTACTCTACTTTTGTTGAACTTCGGCAACAAGAGATTGTTTCTTGGATTTCCATGAAATCAAAGAATCACAAAAAAAAAAAACAAAATAACTCGTCATCGATCGACGAGTGTCCTTGCAGCACTGCCCAATCACTATCGGTGTAAGCTATGAGTGTAGGAATTGATTAGGAGGAGAAGAAAAGACCATTCCCAAACGAACCTTTTAGATATTTTAGAACGCGAAAAGCGACCTACAAGTGTATAGCAGTGGCTTATTCATGTATTGGGAAAGGACTTGTATGGCATATGAGATATCCGGTCTTGTAAATGTCAAATATAATAATTTACCCACCAATTGTCTATAAACCATAGGATCCATAAGAAAATCGGACTCGACTCGTAGTAATGTACTTGTTAGGATCCATGGGTGTAGATAATGGTTTAGTCCCTAATAAACCATGTTCGGTCGGCAAGTCCAAGACATATTTCCTTTGATATAAGGAAATGCCGATAGCGAATCGAGCAACCTCTATCGTAAGAAAGAATTTTAATTTCCTCAAATCTTTCAACATGAGCTGGTAGTGCAAGAATTGTTTAAAATCTTCAATGACAGCACCACTTGTTACTTAAAATCACTATGTCATCAACATAAACTAGTAATGCAAGGAAAGTGTTAGAAGAAACCTACTTAACAAAGAGTGAGTAGTCGGCTTTGGATTGTGAGAAACCAAAAGACGAGTAGGGCGGATATGAGCTTAGAGTTCCACCGTCCGGAAGCTTGCTTTAGACCGTATAGGGGCTTTTGAAACTTGCAAGCCGGGCGCTTATAGTCTCCTATAATGTGGTAACCAAGAGGAAGATCCATGTAGATAGTTTCATCCAAATCTCCATTGAGAAATGCATTATTGACATCGATGCGAGATAGATGCCACCCACGAATTGCGACAAGAGCTAAGAATACACGAATAGTTGTTTGCTTCATCACAAGGTTGAAGGTTTCTTATAAATCATATCCCGGCCTCTAACTATAACCTTTGGCCACTAAGCGGGCCTTGTAACGATCAATGGATCTATCGGCAAGTAACTTAAGCTTGAACACCCATTTGCGACCAACATTGTCTTGTTTAGGTGAAAGATTAACAACGGTCAAGTGTGGTTCGATCAAGAGCATCAAGCTCGGCCTTCATGGTTTGTTGTCAATGAACCGATTGCACGGCTTGATGATATGTTTGGGGCTTACAAGTTTGAGAAACATAAGCAACAAAAGAAGAATGTAAGTCCGATAAATGTGAAGTGAAAATGTACTTGTGGATAGGAAAGGAAGTAGAACAATTAGCGGATGTGCGGTTGTAACCCTCGTAAAATCCGTAATCGTATAAGTGTACGTATCGAGATATTTATATTCGTACGTATATATATATATATATATATATATATATATATATATATATATATATATATATATATATATATATATATATATATATATATAGTATATCGGTTACGTACTTGAAAATCCGTAACCAAGTCAACATATGTACTTGAAATATGTGGTATGTACGTATTTGTTGAGAGTAAGCTGGTGTACGTTAATATTTACAAAAAAAAAAACGTTGGGTAAATTAGTTAAAAAATTTCTTTTATATGGAATAAGAATAAATTAGAAAAAAAAGTGCTAATTGCCAAAATTTTGGAAGGAATTACGAAAATATAGTTAATCTAATTACCCTCATTTAATCATATTTTGGCCCCTACTTTCTACAAATTTCCATTGACCATCACCTCTTACTCCTTGAAATTTAAACCCATCATTTCATTAATTTCAGCCACATTTACCTTGCATTTCACCACAAGCTCTTGACACTTGTAATGAGCATTAAATGGATGAGATTAGATAAGATATTTAAGTAAAAAAAAATGGGATAAGGGTACATTTTTGGTGCATCCCGTAGCTTCCTTAAAGCCAAGAAAGAAAGAGTGAAAGAGAAAAAAAAGGGAAGGAAGAGAAGGGGAAAAGAAAGGAAAAGGAAAGGGAAACTAAAAGGAAGCGAGAAGAGATTTTATGAAAGTTAATCTAATGTAAGTAGGTTTTATTTTTTTTCTTGCTTTGTTTATGCCTTCTATGTTTATTTTATGAGTTGTTAATTCATGTAAAATGTGATTATGGTATTTTGTGATGACTTTAAACACTTGATGTTTGATGATGGATGGTTATGCATGTGTGATGAGAAATGTGCTTTAAGAGAAGATTTCTGGATTTTAGGGGTGAAAAAACCTGAACTTTGTGTGATTTATTTCGGGATCTTAGAGTGATTTTTAGGCAAAATGCAAAGAATGAAAGTTGTTGATATATGTATCTACTATGTCTCTTTAAAATTTCGTGACTTTTAGAAATATATACATGGAGTTATGACTGAATTGGTATGGATCGTTTGAATGGACCACCTACTGGAAAAATATTTCATTCCGAAAGTTGTGTGATTTATTTCGGGATCATAAAGTGGTTTTTGGGCATAACTTAAAGAAGGAAAGTTGTTCATCTATGTGTCTATTAGATTTATATAAAATTTTATGATTTTTAGATCTGTATGTAAGGATTTATGATTGATTTAGTACGGATCGTTGAATGGACCAACTACTTGGAAAAGATTATTTAGTTTCGAAACTTGTGTGATTTATTTAAGGATTTTAGAATGATTTTTTGAGAAAACTTAAAGAATGAAAGTTGTTGATCTATATGTATAATATCTCCTCTTAAACTTTCGTGAGTTTTAGATATATATTTAAGGAGTTATGGCTGATTTGGTATAAGTTATTTAAGTATACTACTACTTGGAAAATTTTTAACCTAAACTAAATGGGCTTGGATTAATGGTAATGGGCTTGGACTTGAGTTAAAATGAGATGGGCTTGAAATTACAAATAAAGTGGACTTAGATTAAAATAAATAGACTTGGGCTTGGATTAATGTTAATAAGCTTGGACTTGAATTAAAATGAGATGGGCTTGAAGTTAAAAATAAATTGGACTTAGATTAAAACAAATGGACTTGGGCTTGGATTTAAAAATAAGGTGGACTTAGATTAAAACAAATGGACTTGGGCTTGGATTCAAATAAATG